GAAATCACCAAAAAAGCCCCAAATTTTTTAAGAAAAATATTTTGGGCTTTAGATAGCTCCCTCTTAACAAACAAGTTAAAGCCCAAAACACGTTGAAGCAAAAAAAAGGTAACTTCTTCCTGTAACTCCATACATTTCTGCCTCACCTCCATGACCCATTTTAAAAGACATTTTTGCCCTTGTTTTGTTTTTTTTTTCATCTTCTTCCTCCACCAGTGCATCCTTTTCACCCTTCTTCTTCTTCCCTTACTTCCACTCTTCTTCCTTTAGTATATAAATTTGGGAGGTTTAATTTGAATAGGATATTTTTCACGTAAGAATTGCCTAATTAATTAATTATATAATGAAAACTCACATAATTATGTATTTAATAAATATAATTATTTTATACATTAATATAAATATAGTTCTTTTTTATACATTAATTTTCCGGTACTTACATTTACTTAAATATTTTTAGAACGTAAATTTATATTTTTCATCATACAATTCAAGTTATTTTAAACAGAATATGATTTACTTAAATATTTAATTATTGTAGTGCAAATTAGTTTAAAGTTTTATTTATTTTTTATATTTGTCAACTCAATGTATTTCTTCCATTTTTATTTGTAAATTTTTTTATCATTTTTTAAAATTGGTATATGAAAAAAAGTATACATAATTTAAGTTAGTTATTGAAATAAATTAAACTCTAAATTTTAATAATTTATTTAGTATAATTTCTAATATTATAAAATAATCACTTATTTTGCAATTTTAGTTCATTTTTATTCTTACTGAAATTTAATTGATGGTCCTATAGTAATAATCATATTATTTAATTGATTTAATTTTTTATATTATCGTATTAATGAAATCAATTATAATTATATACTTGATATAAATATAAGCAATTCTTCTTGTTGTTGTTTCCTTGTGTCCCCATTTGAAATGAATGAAGCATGATGGTGAGCCTAAGGGAGTTTGACGGTGGAAGGAGAAAAGATATATATAATAAAAATTTAGAGAGTGAAGTAATTATTGTGCAATGGTAGGTGTTAGATACAGTGCTCCCAGCTGGTGGCAAGTGTCAACTATGCAGACAATGGTATCAGAGAAAACTGACAAGTCTGGAAGATATCAGAGTATGCAGTACAGTGCATTTAGTCAAAAGTATATCAGAAAACTCCCCAGACCCACATCGACTGCAAAAAAGGTAGTAATATCACTTGCTTTCTACAATTCTGATTTTCATCTCCATGCTATTTTTACATGTACTGCTTTTCAAATCTCACTTTTTCATAATGTATGTCCTTCCTTTCCTCACATGCAGGTGGGGCTTCTCATCTTTACTTTTTATAATTATACATATTTTTTTTTTAATGTTTCGATTGAATTGGTATGGACGTTCTTTCTTGTTTTGTTTTATTTTTATTTTTAATCTTATTTTATAATGTGATTCACTTTAATGAATTGTTAATTTGTAAAAGAATTCGAAGTTGAAGTTAAGTATGTTTTATAAAAAAATTTATATTTTATTAATATAAAAAATGATGATTGTAACTTTCACATAAGTTGTATTATTTATAGAGATGGTGACATTCAAGTCCATTGACTTGCAGAAAAATCCGATGTTCAAGTTAAATATGTTTGTGGTATTCGAAGTCAATTGATTAATTATCAGTATATTTTTAGGAAATCAAACCTAATAATCAATAATTAATACAGTATATTTATAAAGGTTAAGGTAATTTGACCTATTAATATTTGATAATTGAAGCATTAATTTCGATGGGTATATTTCATTTAGTTAAATTTTTACGTGAAATTAAAATTTATTTTTATCTTAAATTTTCACATAATTTCATTTTAAAATTTAAAAATGTATAAAGATAATATTTTAACTCAAATTATACTTAACTTATATATATGTATAGATAATTTAATGGAGTGACTTATTCAGTAAAATTTATTGGGGCTCGTGGAACTGTTAACTGTCTTTTCATTCCAAAAGAAAGTTGAAAGTGTTGGGAGCACATTTGTTTCTTTTGATGGAACAGTAGACATGATTAAAAGGGTAATGCAACATAAGCTTTTAGTAAGTTTCGGGTTTGAACATTCTGTGAATTATCATGTATAAGCTTGCTTTGAGTAACTATAAATTATTCAATCACATATTTTTGAGAGAGATTATCACAAATTGATATAAGCAGATTTTTCATGTTTGGATACGTGAATTTAAGAAAAAATGGAAGAAAATGGGAGTAATGATTTGTAGGATTATCTCCATTTTTTCACTGGTGCGAAACTTGCCTTCAACTTTATGCGTTTAATGTCAGATGACTAGAGAGCTAATATTAAGAATGATTGATTACATTTTGGTAAACAAAATCAATTATTTGATGTTGGTAATATGCAAATCTAACGTAATATAGTTGTTTGACATCGGTGGTTCACCTGTCCGACATCATATTCTATATATTATGATGTATATTTCAAATAAATGTCTGAGTCATTAAAAACATGAATTAAAAAGACGTACTTAGTATTTATGACCAATTAGAATGAAAGTCAAGTTCGACGTTTAATGATGTTAAAAAATAAAAAAAATTTAAGTGCGAAATGAGTTTTTGAGCTAATTAAACATTTATCGTTAGAGGTGTCCCACGTCTAATGATTATATGGCGTCGGTCGTTAGAGGTCTAACGTTCTATTGCATTTTATTTTGTCGACAACCTCGTTTCCTTCACTTTTTCTATGCAAACCCTTCTTCCACAGTGCGAACACCTCAGAAGGATATTTCTGTAACCATCAAAAGTAATATTTTTTTTATTTAACACATGCACGTTTATTGAATATTTTAGGAATGATTTTCTTTTATTTTCACCAATTTATTTTGTGTATAAATAATTTTTTAAAATATCAGTGTGTTCTCCTTTCTTTTTTACTGGTGACGACGGTTTATAGTTTAATATACATAAGCTTTATGGTGTTCTTTTTCTAATACATTAGTGTGTAGACATGGTAATTAACTTCTATTTCTATTTGATTACATAAAAAAATATTTATTTTATAAAATTTCTTCCAATTTACAAAATCATATATATTTCTTATTTGTTAGTTTTGTTTAAAGTGGTCCCATTTTTTGTAAAAATATTCAATTTGGTCTTTTTTTATTGACGACGTTTAAAACGCTAACCGCGTAATGTTCACACCAATTTTAAATGACATGTCCAGTTTTACAATACGTGGCATGAGAGCTCCTTCGTTCTTCCATCAACCACGGATCCTCCATAACATACACCAAACCCTAAATCTCCAATTTCCAGAAACCTTAAATTCCTAATTTCTAAAAACCTTCGTCATCAACTATGAGAACCCTCAAATTTGCGAATCAATCTCAAGACTTTATCCTCCATCAAAAACCAAATCCCCAATTTCTAGAAACCTTCATCGTCAACCATGAGAACCCACAAATGTGTGAATCAATCTTGCGACTTTCTCCTTCATCAAAAGCCAAATTGCACTCACAAGAACCTCGCGAACACCACCACGAACCATTATTCTCCTTTAACCTTCGAGCAACACCATTCTCATGCAAACACCCTCTTCCACCATGAAATCCACGACGACAAAACTCTTAAATTGTGCCGCCACCATCATCAAGCTACCTGCAACTACAAATAGACCTACAAATTCAAACACAGAGAAAACCCTAACCACTATCACGCCTCCTATTCACGATTCAACCTACAAGAAACCACAAAACACAAAAAACTCCAATGTTCAAACCCAAATTGCATAAATCGAACAATCCAAAAAAAGGAAAATTGTCACGTCAATTGGACTGATGTTGCCACGTATTGCAAAACTGTATATATCATTCAAAATTGGCTGAGGTCGACATTACACCTTTAGCGTTTTTAAACGTCGTCAGCCAAAATGACTAAATTAAACTATTTTTACAAAAGATGAAACTATTTTGAACAACTCATAGATAGGAGAACCACTTTGAACAAAACTAATAAAAAAAAAAAAAAAAAATAATATATATATATATATAAATTATTTATTTTCTTTAAAATTAATAGTATCTCTGTTTATAAATTTGATCTCATTATTATATACAAATATCGTATTTGGTAAACATTTTACATAGTATTTTCTATCGTCTGATTATTACAATTATTTCCTCTATTATTTAATTTCATCTTAAAATATTTATCGTTTAAATATTAATCTTTTCAAAGTTAGGGCCTTATTATTGGTATGTGTTTACAGTAAAAGGGAGTTTTATAATGTCTTTCTAAAGAAAGTTTTTATAATGTTTAAAGAAATAGAGGAGATTGAATATGTAAAATGGTCAACATATGTAATAACGAATTTTTTTTTATCCATTAAAAAAACGAAGGTTTTAATTTCGCGTGTATCATTCACAAAAACAGGGAGGGTTTCTGTAGGTTTTAAAAATGAAAAGAAGGTCCAAAAATGAAAAAGAAGAAGAAAGTTATTTTACTTACAAATATAATATGATATTTTTAAAAATAAGTTCATTATCATTGCTTTTATTATGAAGATTTTATTAAAGTGAAGATATTTTTATAAGTGAAGATATATATGTTCATCATACTTGATGATCAACAAATATCTTCTTATTATGTTTTGATATTTAATACTTGATGATGGAAATAAGTGAGGATCTTCACCTGCCTAGAAGCTAGATTCATTCTAAACTATATAACATCAGTGCATTATCTTTTGAAATGCAAATCCATTTTAGTTGTCTAAATTGGTTGCTTTTTCAAGGCAATTAATTACGCATTCCTATATAGTATATGTGAAAGACCATGTGAGTTTGTCTGTTATAAACAGCGTCATTGGAACACTCTAGCACGTATTATAATAATAATAAATGATCGTGCCCACTTAGTTTTATGTTCAATTTATAACTTGTTTAATTAAACATTAATTAGAAGGCTTCAAAAGATTCAGAATTTAATAATTTAAAAGAAACATATATAACAACAAATAATGTGTTTTAGCACTCGCAGCAATTTTTCTGTCAACCAGATACTTGGAAATGTAGAAATGGTAACCCCAATATCTTTTCACGATCTGTGATCTTCAATGGATATGTGTTTACCATATAACATTATGTATCTGTGCTAATCTAGTATATTCAAAAGATGCTGCTCGTGTTCATATTTTATGTTGAGCTCAATATTCTTCTAAATGGGATCGAGAACTTGATCCATATCAAAGTAACATGTGCAAACGCCTCAGTTCAAGGATAACATTGGACGGCAACGTAACATTAACTATTGCCTTATTAATAATGTTGTACTATATATATGACCGATTGGTTGTTGGTTAATTAGGGATGGAACGATAGACCAGTTAACAACGAAACACTCAGTCAAACTATAAACAAGATAAACTATTAAAAGTAATTAGATTAAACCTAAACTAAGTTAGTATCATATACCATAATTCTAAACTAGGTTACTATCATATATCATAATTGTGCAGCTTTAATTAGAAATCCATCACGAAAAGTCAAGTTTAACACTAAGATAGTTTAATACTTTTATTATAATTTATTGTCAGAATATTCAAACAAACGTTGATTTGAGCTTTGAAATATTTTTTTAGGTGACATCCGAGTAAACCGAACTATATAAGAATAGGATCATATTGAAACTTAAGCTTGAAGAGTATAATCTGCGCGAAAAGACTTAACCTTGAACTCAGAAACCAAACGAAACAAATGTGAATGAGTTGAACACTTTTTGTATGGCAAAACAAATTCATTTTGAGGTTGCTTTTATGCATGTTTGGGAGAAATTCTGATGGGCATTCCGAGGGAAGGGAAAGGCAAGGGATCCATTGTCACAGGTTCATCTGGATGGAGTAAGAACCACTCGTATTGTGTCACAACATAGTGCACAAATACGAGGATGTTTAACTTGGCTAATTGGTACCCTGCACAAACTCTTGGTCCTCCTCCAAAGGGAACATATGCATATTGGGGTACTCCCTCCTCAAACCTACTTGGGTTGAAATTCATAGGATCCTTGAAATATTCTTCATTGTAATGTGTCCCGTATGTTGTCCATAGCATCTGAGAAGAACCAAGAAAACCAATTATATGATTCAGTTCACAATGTATCCATGTGCATGGATTCAAAATGTATTAGAATGAAAGAAGAAAGTAGTATTCACCTTCCATCCTCTAGGAATCACGAATCCTTCATATTCAATATCAGTAACAGCCTTTCTGAAAGAACCAAAGATAGGAGGGAACAATCTCATGCTTTCTCTCGCAACTTGCCATGTATACTTCATCTTTTTTATATCCTCCATTGTCAGATTCTCACCCCGGTTTTTGTTGCTCATTATGGCAACATGTTCTGCATAAAATTAAGTGTACTTTTTCAATAATAAACTTTTTTTGATTATTTAGAAGGTACAGTCATAAAAACTAAGCACTGTTTTAAATATGTTGTTGATATTAGTTTACCTTGAAGAATTTTTCCATAGCAATCAGGATGCTGAGACAACATTTTGAATGTCATGGCAACAGCAAAAGAAGTGGTATCATGAGCTGCAAAAACTAGTAACACCACATTGTCTATGACTTCTTTTTCACTTATCTCCCCTTGGAACATCCCACATACCAAATTGGACAGCAGCATTCCATCTTGTTCTCTTTCTGAGCTTCCTTCCATTTCCTTTCTCTTCTCTCTCACCACTTTGAGCAACATCTTTTCTATCTCCACCCTGGCCTTCTTTGCCCTCCAAAATTTAGAACCTGGAAACATAACAGCTGGGGAAAACACTCCTTCCAACACTCTTTCAAAGGTATCTAACATACCTGGCTCCACTTTGATTCCCAACAAACACTCAAACACTATGCTAAAAGTGAGGACTTTTGTTGAACGGTGAATACTGATATTCTCTTGGCCCTTCCAGTTTGTAGCTAAATGAAACTGAACAGAGTTGCATAATCTTGGAACCAGTAGCTCAAGTCCAGCATAACCAAGGCTTGTGGCAATGACACCACGGAGGAACCGGTGCCTTTCACCATCTTTCTCCATTATAGAGTCCCTTCCCATGAGCTCAACCGATGAAGAAGGCCAAGAGCTTTTCACCAACTTGAACTCGTTGGACAGTAAGAATTTATTGGCCTCAGCTCCATTGACAACCACAGTTGGAGACCCCATGATCCTTGTTCTGAAGATCTTCCCATGTTTCAGAATTCGAGGATGAAAAAACTCTTCAAATAACTTGTTTCTCCTCTGAGCATTGAAGAATTCCATGGTCTCCCCTATCAGTGGAAACCCCATTTCCCCTGGTGGCAGCTTTCTTTTGTCTTTGCAGCATTGCTCGTGCCTCAAGAAAATGAAAGAAACTAGAAAAAGTAGTAGGGGAAACAAACCCCACAAAATAAAATAGATAATGTCCCCGAACATTGTAAGGATTTGATAATTCTGAACTCGTATATATTTTTGTAAACTCGAATACTGATTGTTTAGTTCAGCACATCTTTATATATATAGGAATCTGTAATATGTGGAGTAAGTCAAACCCAAATGAAATTTATGATAATTATAATCTTGATCATCCTTAAAGTCAATTCCTTCCACATAAAATTCTCATATGCAAGCCTGTGATCCTGGTCAAATTAACAGAAAAGCGAAAAACAATACTATTGTGAAAAGAAATACAAAGTTGAATCCTTGAACTAGTGATAGATTCATTAATTGTTCCAGAAGAATGACACGTAATCATCATTACATACCTGAGAAATTTATTGTAGAAAAAAAGAGTACTTTTCTCTTCCCGGTCAACGCTAGAAGCTTTGTAGTTAACCAAGAATCCCTGAAAATCTGGTGAAGTCTCGTTATTTTATGTGACTTTGCATCGTGTTTTAGTCATGATGATTGCTGATCATTGCAGCAATGTAAATACTGATTAATGTGTGATGATGGGTCAGATCACCATCTTTAAATCTCTACTTTACAATATCTTTTTAAAGTAATTAGAAAGGTAGGCTGATCATGTTGGAGATAATGTTGTTTGGAACCGCCTAAGCCATGAATTATCTTAAACAAAGTTTTTGGAGGTGGTTTAAATTAAATCAGCATAATTTTCTCACGTTAGAAAGCTGGACTTTGCGAATTTAATTGGTTGTTGGGGAATGTTTAGCAGAGAAGGTTCATGGTTGCATGTGTAAAAGAAACAAACACAAGCTGTGAATGAATTGTAATAGACACTGTTGTTCTTTTAGAAGAAATATTGCGTTTACATTTATAGCAAGATTTGCATTTGCTTAATGACACCAGATAATTGTTGTTTGACTTAAATTGATATTAAGATAATTATGGAGCTATGGTGGTTTCACTAATAGAAGCAAAAGCAAAAATGGCTTAGTGATGAAACGTTGAGCTGGCTTCCATTGAAATTTAAGGATTGTATGTCAACATCTTACATGATAACCACCGAAAATGCTGCCAATGGATTGAGACTGAGGACTTGGAAGAAAGCAACAGCGTTTATGTGAAGGACATTGTTTGCATGTGATGCACTCAGACACCTTAGACTGTTGCATTCAATGCCCCCAACACTTTCTTTATCAAACCTGTTCCTACTCAGAATACAAATCACCAATATTATCTTTTCACAAATAGCAAGGGTATGTAAAACACTTCTACTTCATTTCACACAAATTATAAGATAAAATAGTCATAAAAAATTTATATTTTTTCGAAATAAAATAAAATAAAAAGTAAGGTAGTGTCAAATAAATATAAATATATAAATGTATTAAAGAATCATTTTTCTTTCACAAATTATATACCACACTTTCACAGTACAATTACACAAAAAAAAAATAATAACTGAAGAAAAACCAATGTGACAAACAGATGGTTAACAGATGAAAACAAAAGTAGAGAAATCGAAGTATCTACTTCCAATGGATCTCTTAAAAAATAGTCCGAAAAAGAAAATTTAATTAGTAATTTGATATTTACATTTAAATTTTATTTAATTGAATCTTCGTATTTGTCAACTAGAATAAACTTTATTTCTTCTCTTAAATTAACATTAATTCTTTGAAAGTATTACGTATCAAAATTTAGTCAATATTTACCTTAAAATTACTTTAGTTTTTTTTTCTTTTATCTCTTTATCTTCCACTAAATATAATTAAAAAATAAATTATTAAAATGTACAAGGCTCTCGTTTGATTAAAATGTACATAATGAGTTTCTATATGAATATCTACCTATTCTTAAAGTAAAAGTATAATAGAATAATGAATACTAGTTTTCAAACAACTACATGTATAATGTATCAATTCGTCCAAAACATTGAAGATCGTGATACTGATAAAAAGAAATTTGAAGATAGTCATATCTCATAAACATTACAAAGAATCTTGAATTTATAATCCAAATTCATCTTGATTGACAGAATTAGCTTGACTGAATATATATATATATATATATATATATATATATATATATATATATATATATATATATGTATAAATTTTGTAAAATGCTAAAATTTGTTTGTAATTAAACTATGCACGAAGGGAACAAACTAAAAGTAAACTAAACTAAATCAAAATACTGAGTAATTTGAGAAAAACAAATGAAATAAATAATTTCTATAGGAAAAAGTTCACTCTCAGCTAAATCTTTAATGGTGAAGTAGTTAGATTGAATTTTTCGAAAAACCGAACTATGTACAACCCTACTATACTATACTGATATAAAGAGGTTTATGCTTCATGAATATTTAGTTAAAAAAAAGGTACTGTTTCCTGAGTCAAAAATAAAAATTTTATGATTTTCAAGACATGACAAAGTGAACTAGACTAGACTTGACTCCATCGTTTTTCTAACCAGTAAAAATGGCTAGGTAGAGGTATTTTTCAAGTTGAATAGCAATAAAATAAGCAAGGATAAAATTTAAAAAAAAAAAAGGTAGAAAAAAACTATCTAAAATTAAAAAAATTAGCTTCTCTCCATAAAAAGACTTGCCTAGTTCTTCCATGGTAACGAATGATCTCAAAAGGGACCGAACCACCTTTTCCAAAACAGTAACGGTCCATGAAAACTTAACAACCCTATTGATGATAGACTTTCCAGTTACAACATCGATAACCACTTCACTTCCTTACAATTAACAACAGCTTTCTCGCTTGTATCTTTGCCTACATAGTCAACTCGTTTTGCTCATATATGCTACACATTTATGTTTGTATAACCAGTTGAATTTTTCTTTAACTGTCTGCAAGTACTTATCTTTTTAGCTGTTGACAGCTTCTAATGCAGGTTTACAGATATATATATATACACTTTCAACATCCCACACAAACCTTATGTTATTATATAACATAAGGTCATTGTTATTTTTTAAGTACTTGTAATACACAATAGTTATGTATATACACGTATTTCCTCTGCAGCAAAATACCATGAAAATGGAATGTCTTACAATCACAACTGTGTTACAATATCATAAGTATGTAATGTGGAAATTAATACTATGTTTGATTAATAATACATTCATGAAAATGTGAGGACAGCTTGTAATCTTACCGGCAAAAAAAAAGGAAAAGGGCACTCGTATTCACTACTCTCCCCACATATTTTAGTAAACTCACCTACCCTCTGCCATTCTCATTTAGTTCGAAATGACTCACTTCTAGTTTTACATATTTGGATTTCTTTTTATCCTTTGAATTCTTCAATTGGCTAAGTTAAATAGGAATTTTATGCTGGTGTGCAAAATGATAATAACATAAATACACATACATTTTAATAAATATCACTATACCGGTATTCATTACCATTTATGTGCTTGACATGGAAACAGAATAGTGAACAGTAACCACCGTGAATACTGAGTCAAACATGCATCCAACAAAACTACTTCTCTAAGCTAGGTATCTATGTAAAGTGAAAAAATAAAATGAAATAATGTATCACATATTCATCATTGATTTGGATTAACTTATCTTAGTAAAAATCAGCAATAAATGTATCTTTACTTTCCTACTTTATACATCTATTAGAGAGATAAAGTACAAGAAATAAGACATAAAGAAAGAAGAAAAGGGAGGAAAATTGGTAAGTTACAGCAAGCTTGGATGTGATTTGTAGCATTATATGCCAAATACACTCACCAAGCTAATGAGTAATTTCAGTTGAATCCAGCAGAAGCTCGTGATCGACAAGAAAGAATGCCGTAGTTAAGAGAGAGTGCACATCATAGGGGTACGTGTTGAACTGAATTCACGTCCAGCGTTTAAAGCTATTTTAGAAAATTCAGGCATTATTGCATGAAGTAGTAGTAAATATGGAGTAAATGCACCTGCAAAACATCAACTAACTCTCATACTCCTCCACCTGCTAATATTTACTCCACTCTGTGAACCATCTTATATAGCATTCCTACTTCACTCCCCTCTCCACACTCAAACCTTCCCTTCTCTTCTTTCTCAGAGTGTTCTAAGCAGTCAGTGATAATGGGTAGGGAAAAACACAGTCCTACTTCTATCACTATCTTCACATTGCTAGTTGGGATGCTTTCCCAGAACCTTGTCATCCCTGTGATGTGTTCCACTACCCCCGTTGAGGACCAGAAGAACAACCACTCTTCACGTCCACATGCAGAAGGAGGTTCTCCCACAGATTCATCAAATTCTTCTCTGTGTAATTCTCTAACCGAATAATACTTTTTGTTTCATCGTTTGTGCAAAATATATAAAGATATATAACATTAACGAGCTCTTCAACTTTCCTTGATAGCTACAGTAGGTCATTATTCAAATTTGAAAGTATGAAATGATCAGAAGCTCATAAAGATACCTCTTTGAAGTTTAACTTTCTAATCTAATATTATACGTTGCTTTTACTTCTTGAAGGTTCATACTGCTCTCCATCTCATGGCTCTGGAGGCAGTGGTCATGGAAGCACACCGCATTCTCATCATCATGGATCACCCTCTCATCATGGAACTCCATCACATCATGGATCCCCATCACATCATGGATCCCCATCACATGGAGGAAGTTCCACTCCAACCCCATGCACTCCCCCAGGTGGTGGAAGCTATGATCCAACTCCATCACCACCCTCAGGTGGTGGAAGTTACAATCCAACCCCATCAACTCCCCCAGGTGGTGATGGAAGTTACAATCCAACTCCATCAACTCCTCCAGGTGGTGGAAGCTATGACCCAACCCCATCACCACCCTCAGACGGTGGTGGAAGTGGAAGTTACAATCCAACCCCATCAACTCCTCCTGGCGGTGGAAGTTACAATCCAACCCCATCAACTCCCCCTGATGGTGGAAGTTACACTCCAACTCCATCAACTCCCCCTGGTGGTGGAAGCTATGACCCAAACCCATCACCACCCTCAGGCGGTGGATATTACAATCCAACCCCATCAACTCCCCCAGGAGGTGGAAGCTATGATCCAAACCCATCGCCACCTGAGGGTGGTGGAAGTTACAATCCAACCCCCTCGCCACCTGATGGTAGCAATTGTGGAACTCCACCACAAGAACCCTCTACTCCAACGCCCTCAGTCCCAACGACACCATCAACCCCTTCAACACCATCAAATCCTCCCTCAGGAGGTGGTGGGTACTACAACTCACCACCAACTTATGGAGGTGGTAGCCCCCCAATCACTGTGAGCCCACCTTCGGTCCCTATTGACCCAGGCTCCCCCACTATCCCCTCCACACCCCCTTACCTTCCTTCGCCAACTCCTTTCACTGGTACATGCAAGTAAGTTCCCTTCATTACATTGCACGGTAAACTATCATATTGACATACAGATACTGTTAAGTAACCAATTGATTGTCCTCTAAATTGCAGCTACTGGAGTACTCACCCAGGAATCATCTGGGGATTGCTAGGCTGGTGGGGAACCTTAGGCAATGCATTCGGTGTCTCTA